TCCCTTAGGGACCCCCTTAGGGACCCCCCCTGCACCCCAAACCCTCCCGCACCGCCCCAAATCCGCGGCCCCGCAGCCCCGGAGCTCCCCGGTGCCCCCGAGCGCCGCGGGTGTCGCGTCCCGGGGCTTTCCCCGCACTCCCGGGGCTCCGAACGTTCCCGAGCCGCCTCTTGGCCGCCGCCGCTCCCGCCCGGCCCGGCGCAAGGTAATTAATAAATGATGCTTCATTAATAATTCCAGCCCGGGAAGCCCCTGCGGGGCCGTTCAGCAATTTTGGGATGGGCTTGGGAGCCCCGAACGTTCCCAGGCGCTGTCAGAGGGTGGGGAACCCCCAGCTCGGGCTGTGAGGGGGTCTCGGGGGACCTGGGGGGCATTGGGGGTCCCTGTGTCCCATCTCAGGGGGTTTGGGGGTCACTGTGAGGACGTGACCCCCACCTCGGGGGCCTTGTTGGGGTCAGCGCCAGCTCAGAGCCTTCCCGGCCTCCTTGGGAAGGTTTGGGGGTCCCTGGGGGTCCCCATTGCCCGTTCCTGGGGGTTAATGGGGCAGGGGAGGGCTCTGGGGTGGGGGTCCCCATCCTGGTTCTTTTGGGTGGGGGTCCCCATTCCCGGGTGTTTTGGGGATGCTCCGGGGGTCCCCCAGGCCGTGGCACTTCAGGGGGAGTTTGGGGTCTCTGTCCACTCCTCCCCAGCCCCAAATCCTCATCCTTTTCCCTCAAACCCTCCCGAGGGGACCCCAGACCCAAACCCGGCTCTGCTCCGGGAGGTCACCAGGCAGTGGGGCTGAGCCCTCATTAATTCATTGATTAGCGTTAATTGGGGCTCGGGGGTTGGGGGGTACCTTCGGCAGAGATGGGCTCCAGGATGCCGAACTGCTTGAGCACGGCGATGAAGAGGAGGATGACCACGGCCACGGCGCACAGCTCCATGCCCTGGATGCCCATGGCCCCGGGGGGCACCGGGGGCACCGGGGGTCCCCCCAACCCTGCGGGGCTCCTGCGGCAGCGCGGGGCGGGTGCTGCCCGTGCCCGCCGGCCCGTCCTCCCCTCCTCTCCTCCTCCTCCTCCTCCTCCTCCCCTGGCACCCTGCCCCCCCCCACCCCCCCGCGGTTTTTTGCGCTTTCCCACAAAAGTTTGGGGTTTTTGTGGGGCGGGGGTCCAGGGACGCTCCCCCCGCTCCCCGCAGCACCCCCGGGCGTTGGGGTCAGCGCCGGGAGGGTCCCGCCGGAGCGGGCCTCGAAATTGGGGGGAAAAAGGTCCTTGAGTGCCCCCCCGGGCCCGGGGAGATCGATGGGATCGATGGGGATGAGTAAGCAGCGAGGGCAGGGGAAACTGAGGCACGGAGGGAGGGCGGCGGGGCTGTCCCCGCTCCCCGCACTGTCCCCACCCCTCGCTGGGTGTCCCGCAGCCCTGGGGACATCGGGCCTGTCCCTCGGCGTGTCCTTGTCACCTCTAGGGGCTGTCCCCGTCCCCCACAGTGTCCCCATACCCCCACAGTGTCCCTGTCCCCACGGTGTCCCTGTCCCCAGGACTGTCCCTGTCCCCCACAGTGTCCCTGTCCCCACATTGTCCCTGTCCCCACATTGTCCCTGTCCCCACAGTGTCCCCGTACCCCCACAATGTCGCTGTCCCCACAGTGTCCCTGTCCCCACAGTGTCCCCGTACCCCCACAGTGTCCCTGTCCCCCCACATTGTCCCTGTCTCCACAGTGTCCCTGTCCCCACATTGTCCCTGTCCCCCCACATTGTCCCTGTCCCCAGGACTGTCCCTATCCCCACAGTGTTCCTGTCCCCACGGTGTCCCTCTCCCCAGGACTGTCCCTGTCCCCTCGGGGGTCCCCTCTCCCATTCGAAATCTCAGCCCCGCCCCCCGGGACCACCGGGCTCGCACCGGGGGCGGGGCCACCCAGAAGGGCGGGCCCGCAAGAGGGTGTGGCCACCGCGGGGCGGGGCCAACCCGAGGGCGGGGCACCACGGGGGCGGAGTCATATACGGGGCGGGGCCACCAGGGAGGCGGGGTAATACACAGGGGCGGGATTACGCGAAAGGGGCGGGGCTCAGTGTTTGTGGGCGTGGCTCCGGTGCTGCCGCGCCGCTACATCTGGCGCTCCCGCCGTCCCGCCCAACGTCACTTCCGCTTCCGCCCGTGCCGGAAGTGCCGCCAGTCTCGCCGCCATGGCCTCAAGGTTACTGCGGGTGAGCGCGGCCCTGCGGCTCCTGCCCGCGGCCTCCGCCCATGCCGCGCCCGCCCGCCAGCTCAGCGTGCCCGGTGAGCGGGGACGGGGGAGCGGGGAGCGGGGGGGACAGCGGGGAGGGGCGGGGGGAGCGGGGCGGGGTGCGTGTGCAGCCCCGGTGTGACGGAGCCCCGCAGGGAACCTGGCCAGCGATGAGGAGCAGGCGACCGGGCTGGAGCGGAAGGTGATGGAGGCCATGAACAAGGGGCTGGTGAGTGCCGGGGGAGCGCGGTGGGGCTGGGGCCGGGGTCAGCCGGAGGGCGGGGGGGGCCCGAGGGATGCCGGGGGGCTCCGGGGCGGTTTCGGGGTTCGGCTGCCCTTGGAGGGGCAGAGATTGGCGGATGGGTGTTCTGGGGGGGCTCGGCGTGGCGAAGGGCTCGGGTTATTTCAGGGTTCCGATGCCCTTGGCGGGAGTGGGGTCAGAGGGGTCAGCGGTGAGGAGATCTGGGGGCCCCGGGGGATTTGGGGGTGCTCGAGGGGTGGCGGGTTCATATGGGGGGGATGTTCCAGTTCTGGTGTCCTTGGAGGGCTACAGGGTCTGGGGCTGGGGTCTCAGATTTGGGGGAGGTCAGGCACAGGGGATCTCGGGGTGGAGCTGGGGATGCCAGGTTTGGGGTTCGCGGGGCCAGGCTGCCCTCGGGGGATTCTGCGGTGGTTCTGGGGTGGTTCTGGGGGTCTCACAGCCTGGGGTGCCCTGCCCTGCCCACAGGACCCGTATAGCATGTTCCGGCCCAAGCGCTACGCAGGCACCAAGGAGGATCCCAACCTCGTGCCCTCCGTGTCCAACAAGCGCATCGTGGGCTGCGTCTGTGAGTGCTCCCGGCCCTGTCCGTGTGTTTGTCTGTCCTCGTGTCCCTGTGTTTGACCATCCCCGTGTCCATGTGTCTGTCCATCCCAGTGTCTGTGTGTCCATCCTGCCCCTGTGTCTGTCCTTTAACTGTCCATGTGTACATCCCTGTGCCCATGTGTCCATCCTCCCACCCATGCCTGTCCACGGTGTTTGTGTGTCCATTCCTGTTCCTTGTCCATTTCCGTCCCCTTCTGTTCTTGTGCTCTGTTCCATGCTGTCCTCGTCCCCTGTTCCTCTTCCCCATGCCTATCCCCATCCACATCCCACTCTGTCCCTGTCCCTCTGTCCGTGTGTCCCACGCTGTCCCTGTCCCCCCAGGTGAGGAGGACAACAGCTACGTGGTTTGGTTCTGGCTGCACAAGGGCGAGGCCCAGCGCTGCCCCTCCTGCGGCGCCCACTACAAACTCATTCCCCATGAGCTGCCCCACTGAGGGACCCCCAAATTCCCTCAAACTGATCCCCTACTGAGGGCTGGGGGACCCCCAAATGCCCCCAAACTGATCCCCCATGAGCTGCCCCACTGAGGGGCTGGGGGTCCCCCTCCCTCCCCTCCCTGGGTCTCTGTTGGACCCCCCAAATCCCCCCATAAAGAGTTTGTGTGGAGAGCCTGGCTGTGTCTGTGCTGGGGGTGTCACTGTGGGTGGGGAGGGGTCCGGGGGGTCTGAGGGGGACACCGTGGCCTAGGGGCAGAATTTGGGGTGGAGGGACCCCGTCTCATTCTCCCTCTGCCCTGGGACTGGGGGGGGACACCGAGTGGGTCCTGTGGTGGCTTTGTCCCCTTTGGGCTCCCAAAGGAGCCCCTGAGCACTGAGGGGGCTGGGTGGGTCCCACAGCCTCCTGGGGGTCCCACAGCCTCCTGGACAGATCACAGCCTCCTCCCCACACACAGGGACCACCTCCCTTTCCCCAGGGCCGTTTGTCCCCTTGGACATGTGCTGGCCTGTCCCATGGGTGTCACCCAGGAGGGTCCCAGGGCGCCCGTCCTGCCAGGCACCGGGGTCTGCATCTCCTGCAGGGGACTCAGGAGAACCCACCAGGGTCCAGGAGATCCCCAGAGGATCCCAGGTGGCCTCAGGGGGTCCCCTGAAGGTTCCCAGGATATCCCCAGAGACCCTGAGTGGTCCCAGGGTGTCCCTTAGGGGTGGCCACGGCCCTGACTCGAGGACTCCCCTCGGGCAGCTCATCCCAACCTGGGTTCAGGGTGGGTTCTCGGGGGTTCCAGGAGGTTCTGGAGGGTTCTGCAAGGTTCTGGCGGGTTCTGCCATCAGGGCTGGCTCGAGGTAGAGTTTGGAGTTTGCCTGTCGAAAGTGTGGCCCCGGTGCCACTGACCAGCCATGATGTCATTGATGATGTCACGCTGATTGGCCATGACATCATGCACCCCCAGCCTGAGGGGGCGGAGCTCAGAGCCTCGCTGGCCAAGGGGAGCTGTGCTGACGGTGAGAGACAGCTGGGGGTGGGGCTTCGGACATCGCGGACCAATGGGGGCTGCAGGAGGCTGTGACTGACAGCAGGGAAGGGCGGGAATCTGCGCTCAATGAAGGGAGGAGCCGGGGGCGGGGCTTCAGGGACCAATAAGAGGTGTCATTGCCGGAGACTGACAGCCAGGGGCGGGGCCCTGGGCCTTATTGGCCAATGGGAGCCAGCGGTGGCCGTGACTGACAGCCGGGCCGCAGAGCGCGGATCTCAATGGATGGGAGGGGGCTGCGGGGCGGGGCCCGGGCCCCGCGACCAATGGGAGGCGTGGCCGTAGTGACTGACAGCTGGGGGCGGGACTCGGAGCGATGGAATTGGTGGGGAGGGGGCTTCGGGGCGGGGCCTGGTGGGGGGGCGGAGCTTCGCCGGGGGCGCGCGGGGACGCGGCGGGCGGGGCCCCCGGCGCACGTGACGGCGGCGGTGCGGCGGTGACGTCAGCGGTGTCGCAGCGGGGCCGGAAGCGGGCGGCGCGCGGGGCGGGCGGACAAGATGGCGGACGGGGACAGCGGCAGCGAGCGCGGCGGCGGCGGCGGGTTCGGGACCGCCCGCGGCGGGGCGGGGGGGGGCCGGCCCGGCCGCGGGGCCCGGCGGCGGCGGCGCGGCTGGCCCCGAGCAGGAGACGCAGGAGCTGGCGTCCAAGCGTCTGGACATCCAGAACAAGCGCTTCTACCTGGACGTGAAGCAGAACGCCAAGGGCCGCTTCCTCAAGATCGCCGAGGTGGGCGCGGGCGGCTCCAAGAGCCGCCTCACGCTCTCCATGGCCGTGGCCGCCGAGTTCCGCGACTACCTGGGCGACTTCATCGAGCACTACGCGCAGCTGGGCCCGTCCAGCCCCGAGCAGCTGGCCCAGGCCGCGGGGCCGCCGGGCGAGGACGGCGCCGGGCCCCGCCGCGCCCTCAAGAGCGAGTTCCTGGTGCGGGAGAACCGCAAGTACTACCTGGACCTGAAGGAGAACCAGCGCGGGCGCTTCCTGCGCATCCGCCAGACCGTGAACCGCGGCCCCGGCGGCCCGGGGGGGTTCGCGGGAGGCCCCCCCGGGCTGCAGAGCGGCCAGACCATCGCGCTGCCCGCCCAGGGCCTCATCGAGTTCCGCGATGCCCTGGCCAAGCTCATCGACGACTACGGCGGCGAGGAGGACGAGCTGGGCGGCCCCGGCGGCGGCGGCCCGGGCGGCGGGGGGCTCTACGGGGAGCTGCCCGAGGGCACGTCCATCACCGTGGACTCCAAGCGCTTCTTCTTCGACGTGGGCTGCAACAAGTACGGGGTGTTCCTGCGGGTCAGCGAGGTGAAGCCGTCCTACCGCAACGCCATCACCGTCCCCTACAAGGCCTGGGCCAAGTTCGGCGGCGCCTTCTGCCGCTACGCCGAGGAGATGCGCGACATCCAGGAGCGCCAGCGGGACAAGCTCTACGACCGGCGCGCCGGCCCGCCGGGACCCGGCAGCGGCAGCGGCGCCGGTGACGACTCCGACGGCGACGACGTGGACGACGACTGAGCCGATCCCCCCAGCCCTCGACCCCGACGCCGGCCCCCCACCACCCCCCCCGAGCCCCGGGGCGAGCGGGTCCCCGATCCCCCCTCCCAGCGACGGGGCAGAGGGGTTCCTGAGCCCCCCTTCCCCCTCCCAGCGACGGGGTGAAGGGGTCCCCAAACCCCCCGGGTCCCCGCTCCCAGCAACGGGACGAAGGGGTCCCCGAGCCCCCCCCGCCAGCAGCGGTGGGGCGCGGGGGTCCCCGAGCCCCCGAGTCCCCCCCTCCTGTCGCCACCGGAGAGAGAGAAACCGGCCCGACCGTGCCGCGGCCCCCCCGGCCCCTCCCCGGCTCCCACCGTGGGACCCCCGGACCCCAGGACTCGCTGCTTTGGGGTGGGGCAGGGGGTCACCCGCAGCCCCCTCCCCTCCCGGTGCCCCCCCATCAAAACCAGCACGCGAGGGCCCCGGAGCCGAGCGGCGGCGGCAGCGCCGGGGGCGGGGGGGGCAGCGGAGGCACCTTGGACCAACGGCCGTTCCCTCGGCTTGTGATTTTCCCTTCATTTTCCTTTTTTTTTTTTTTTTCCCTTTCCTCCTCTTTCCACTTTTTTTTTTTTTTTTTTTTTTTTTGGGGGTGGGGTTCTTTTTGGTTTTTTGGGTTTTTTTTCGGGATTCAAATTCCAGGCGCCCGAACTGGAACCCGCCCGAGCTGGCGGCTCCCTGGCAATTAGGGAAGATTTCCTCGGTTTTGCCGATTTCTGACCGTTTTTCCCCCCCTCCCCGTTTCCCGCCGGGAAGGGGGAGGCGCCGGCACAAAGCACAAGGAAAAACTCGACGGGGCGAACCATCTTCCCCTTCTCTCCAAATAAGGCGCCTCCGGCCCCGTTTCACCAGGACCCGCCGGAATCCGCCCCTTGGCTTCACCCAAATTGGATTTTCCGGCCCCAAATCCGTGGCCACGCCCGGCCCCGGCACCTTGGGGGTGGATTTTGGAGGTTTATTGTTATTTTTTGCCTCCTTTTGTCTTTTTTTGCCCCCCTGGGCCCGGCCCTGGCGCCGCCTGGTCCCTCCAGCCACCTCCTATTAAACACATTTTTCCACTCTCAAATAGTCTTTTTTTTTTTTTTTAATTCTTTTTCACTCCCTCGGCTCAGTCCTGCCCTGTACAGAATTCCGGTTTTTCACCCCGTTTTCCCATAACTCTGAACTCCATCGCTCTCATTCCAAAGTTTTGCCTCTTCTTCTCCAACGGTTTCACCACTTCTAGGACTTTTCTTTTTTTTTTTCCTTTTAATCCATTTTTGGGAGCCCAGTCAGCTGCCTCCTTAATTTATTACCACGGATCCGGCATCTCCCTCTCTCCATATTTATTGGGAAGTAGGAACGGCCGCAGACCCCTGGGGGACCCCCACGCCGCTGTCCATCCGTCCGTCTGGCCGGCCCCCGGCCCCATCCCGCCGCTCCCGCTGCCGTCGCTCTTTTTAAAGGGATTTTTAAAGCGAATTTCTTCTGTTTATCCCGTTTTTAAGCCTTCTCCGTCGCAAAGGACCCGGATCCCTCACTCACTCACTCGGGAGCAATAGTCCTTCCTCGATGGCCGATGTGTCCTGTACTGTATTTTGTACCCTCAGGCAGCTCTTTCCGGTGAATTCCTGCTGTATCCACCCATCCTCCTGGTCCTGTGTTCTTTGCCACGGAGAAAAATCCATAAACCACAACGGCGACGACAGATTTGGGGGGAAAAATGCTCCCAGCTCCGCGGGACTCACCGGCATCCAGCTGCGGGACCTCTCCTTTTATTTTTGAAGAGGATGAGATATATATATATATATATATATATAAAAATATATATATATTCCTTTGGGTTTCTTTCTTTTGGCTGAATTGCGGTGATTTAGCCTTATTTCTACTCTGGGAGAGCGGCGGAATCGCTGCGGGCCCGGCCGAGCTCTGGGGAGCTGGCTAGAAATAAATGGAAGAGGAAACAAAAAAAAAGGCAAAACCACCAAAATCCAGTAATAAACCCAAAAAAGCAGCTCCCGGCGTTGGCCCAGGGAGCCTTTCCTGGCCAGAGAAGCGCTGGATCCATGGACACGACCTCCCACAGCTCCATTTGGGTGGGAAGAGCAGAGCACGTCGGGGGAAGACAGCGGAGAAAAACAGCCAAAATGAGCTAAAATAGGGGAAAAAGGGGATTTGAGGTGCCAGCTGGAGAGAGGGGAGCGGCCATGGGGGAGGGAATCTTGGGGGGCAGTTTTGGGGGTTTTTTCTCTTGGAGCCCCCCAGGAGGCGTTGGGAGTTTCCCAGGAAAGCGGGACAACGCCGGCATCTCCCCTGAACCCCCTTCATCTCTGTGTGTATAGACATGGCTGTGTGTACATAGCTCAGATTCGGTTGGGTTTTGGGTTGAATTCTGTAGAAAATGGGCAAATTGGTTTTTTTCTCTTTTTTTTTTAATTTTTATTTTTAAACCACAAATAGGGGGAAAAATATCCCGAATTCCTGGTACTTCCAGCTTTGCTGCCCCAGAGGGGCTGATGGAGAACACGATGATGGCTGTACAGACAGAATATTGGAAGTCTTGTACAGCGCCCCAAAACCCACTGGAAATTACCCCAAATGGCTGGGTCTGGAGCGGGTGGTGCTTCCTGGGCAACTTCAGACAGCTTCAGTTCTTTTTGCCCTAAAAAATACATAAGAAAATTCGGATTCTCCTGCCTTGTTTCCAGGCGATTTGGGGGCAGTGGGGGATGGTTTGGGGTGCTACGCCATGGCTCCTCATGTTGGTGACAAAACCAACCCAGCCCCTCACTAGCCTCTCATAAAAAAAAGCAAAATGTGGAAAAAAAAAATCGCAAAAAACTGGAAAAGATTTTAAAAGAGCAGCTGAGGGAGCACTGGGGGTAGGCAGGGTGGTGCACCATGGAGCTCAGCAGGTATTCCCAGTGTGGGCTCCGTGGATGCTCCCAGATGTTCCTGCAGGGCGAGGCCCTCACCCTCCTCGCCCTCCTCATCCTCGCGGAGCCGGTAGAGCCAGCGTTGCCGGGGCCAAGCCACGCGGAGCCGGGGTTGGGCGTTGGCGGGAGCAGCCAGATCCGGGCGGGACGGCCGGGAAGGAGCACGGCACGGCAGGGCCTGCAGCCCCATCCCACCCCGGGGGCTCTGGCCTCAGAGCAGCGGCCGAGAGCGGCTCCAGACACGGGGCTGGGACAGCATCGGTGGGGAGAGCACTGCATCCTCCTCCAAGAGCCACGCGCTCCCAGAGTTGGATTCGCTGACAGCTGGGTCCTCCAAGAATTGCATCTTCTGAAAGCCGGATCCTCTGAGTGCCCGATCCTCCTTTGAGAGCTGGATCCTTCAAGAACTGGATCCTCCAAGAGCTGGATCCTCTGAGCACCAGATCCTTCTCTGAGTGCTAGATCCTCCTCCGGGAGCCAGATCCTCCTCCAAGTTGGATCCTCCAAGAGCTGGATCCTCTGAGAGTTGGATCCTCCAAACACTAGACCCTCCTCTTTGAGCTGGGGTCTTCTCCAAGCAGCAGATCCTCCTCGGAGAGTTGGATCCCCTGAGAACTGGATCCCATGAATGTTGGATCCTCCTCCGAGCAGCAGATCCCGGGAGCGCCGCCTCCCTCCCCGAGCGCTCACCATGACGTCCCTTTGCCGAAAAGAGAAAAAAAAAGAAAGTTTTATTCCTGTTATTTTTTTAATGAAAGAAAAACAAAAACTAAAGCAAACCTGCACTTTAGGCGGCTGGGGGGGCCGGGGCCCCCGTGTCCCTTCCCTGCGGCCGGCGGGGCGGCTCCAGGGGCCGGAGGCAGGTCCTGGGTGTTACCACTAGCGCAGACGAGGCCGACGCGACGAACTCCTCCTGCTCCGAGCACTCCTGACGTAGCAGATTTTTGCAAATGGAGTTTTACAGTCTATATTTAAAGAATTGTATGTTTGTAACAAATAAAGTATGCGGAAAAGTGAATGAAAACCAGCCCGGGCCCGACTTGTTCCTTGGGGGTGCCATGGGGGGCCCTGCAGGGTGGAACTGGTGGTGAGGGGTGGGGTGGTCACCCTGTGGCATTGCAGGGACATGCAGGATGGCCTGAAGGCACAAACGGAACGTGGGGTGTCCTGAGGGGATCGTCTGACCCAGGGGAGCTGCGGGTGTGTGGTACCAGCACGGTGGGGAGGGAGGAGGTTTGGCGCGGCGTAGGCATGGTGTGTCACAGCTCAGGCTGGTGTGTGCACAGCATAACGTGTGTGTGGGTGTGTGTGAGGTGTGCGTGCCAGCACACGGCTCCATGTGTAAGGCGTGTGTAAAGTGAGTATACGGCTTTGTGCCATCACATGGCTGCCTGCCGTGGATGTGTGTGTACAGTGTGTGTAAGGCTTGCGTGCCATCACATGGCTGCCTGCTGGGTGCGGGTGTAAGGCTGGCAGGGTTTGGCACGGCCCGTGCGTGGTGTGTGTGCCGCGGCTCAGGCAGGTGTGTGTGCGCAGATGTGAGAGCGGCCTGCGTGCGGTGTGTCGGGCGCGGGTGCCATCCCGCGGCCGTGCCATCCCGGCGCGGTGCCCGGGGCCGTGTGCCATGTCCCGGCCATGCCCGTGCCGTGTCCCCACCGGCGCTGCCGCAGCCCCCGCCCCCCGCGCTGCGGCTCCCTGCGGGCTCGGGCTCATCTGAGGACACGCGGGGACCCGCCTGCGCATGAGCCGCCGTCACCGCCATCGCTGTCACCGCCACCGGGGCCCGCCGCGACCCCCGCCCGCCCCGCGGCTCCTCCCCGTGCCGAGCCCGCGGCCCGCATATCCCCGCGGCCGGGGGAGCAGCTCCTCCGGCCCCATCCCCGGCCCCACCGCACCCCGCAGCTGCTGCGGCCCCCCCGGCTGGCTCCGGGGATGGGGGGAGCTGGGGACAGCTGGAGGGGCCCCGGGGACAGCCGGGGGGCCCTGGATGGAGCCCGGGGGGGCGCAGCCCGCGGCAGTTGCTGCCCGGGGCAGGTGCGGCACTCCCGGGGTGCGGGAGCAGCTGCGGCATGAGGGGTGGGCGCACCCTGAGCCTCCCCGGCAGCTGCGGGGGACGCGCGGTGCCCCCCTGCCCGGTGCCGGGGGGGAACTGACGGGGCCGGGCAGGCACCCCGGGAAGGGCCTTCGTCATCCTCCTCCTCGCCCTGCTGCTCCTCCCAGTCCGTGCCTCGGCCACGGGGCAGCCGGGGCAGGGAGGGGGACTGGGGACCGCCTTGAGCCCCCCGGCAGCTGCAGCGAGGGGCGCGGGCCGCCTCGCCCCTGCCCAGTGCAGGGAAACTGGCACCGGGACAGCCGGGGGGAGCAGGAACAGGTGCCGCCGCCCCCGGGCCGGAGAAGGGTGGGGGAACCGGAGCCCCCCGGCAGTGCGGCGAGGAGCGGGGACAGTGCAGGGCTCTCCACCCCGCCCGCTACGGAGGGAAACTGAGGCCCGGCGGGCAGGACACTCCACGGCCGTGGAACAGCGGCCACACCGGGGAGAGCCGGGCTGAGGGGCCCGGGCTCCGGCTCCAGCCGGGGCAGGGCTGTGCTGTGCGGGGGCC